TACATTTTTCTGGTAACATGAGGTTGAGAATTAATAAGGCCTTCCTCTGGCACGTGGCCTGACTGTTTCACATCTTTCCATAAATTTTTTCTGCCACATGATGCCTTCCTCTTCATTTGTGGGGATCTTGTCTGTCTTCCCCAGCATTACAGTCCAGTACTTTTCCGTGATAGCCTTGAACCATAACTTTAAATCCTTTGGATCGGGTTCCTCTTCCTGCCAGCGACATTGCTTTGACTGGTAAATAACTGGTAAATAATGCAACATGTTAGACCAGTTCTTACGCAAGAATTGCTTAAGATTCTCACCAGGGGTTGCGAGCTTTACCCACAAATCAGAGACTGTAGAAATTTGTACCAGGCTGTCTTTTTCATCCATACCAATTAAGATCATTTCTCCATCTGGTAGTTTATATGTATGCTGGAATGTTTGCTGCTCTTTGTCTGCATCCCAATTTGTTAGGTGCGGGCCTGATTCGCTGCATACTTGAACCAGGTCATATACTTCATACTCCACAAGTATAATTGATGGCTGTTCTACATCATTATCTTTAGTCTGCTGAAAATCAGGCAATGCAGAAACGTATGTAATATTGTCTATTAGGCCTTTGGGTTGAGTTGCTGGCTGCTGAATAAGGAATTCATCAAAGCTGCCATTAAATTTCGGATACATGATATTGTAAAGTTCCATATCATACTGATTTGATGGATTAGCTGTGAAATCAGTGGCACTCTCAACCAGCTCTGTTCTAGCGCCGTTACGGCCAAGATTACTTTGAAGAACAGCAAGAGGAGCCTGGTAATTTGTTAAATGTTGTTGGTCGGATCCATGTGCAGGTTCCTGTAGAGGCATGCATTGTAACGGGCGTTGAGGATGGGACTTTTGCTGAGGGCTTGCCGGTTCTAAAGTCGTAGGAGCTAAGCACCTCATTTCTGGTTCTTGATCAGTCACCGGATTACAAAACTCCCCGTAACTTGCAGACTGCAGTTGGCCATGTCCATAAGATGCCTCAGGATTACTCTGGAAGTAGACCACCAAGTGAACTTATATCATGCGCTTGTGAAGGAAACATTTAAGACAAAGTTATGTATTTATGTTTACATGTAGTTCCATATACCTACGCAGTTACATATTTCTATAGATCTATATCTGACCACAAAGGCGACAATCGTAAAACGAGTCAGAACAACTTACGTCCATTTTTCCTTGCTGGTGTTTTTCTTTGTTGGGCGTTTCACTTTGATGGGAGTTCGTCTGCAAATGAAAGAAACTGAACGATAACTCACGAATAGATATGAAGAGGCATAGCTGTAAAAAAAAACATTTTAGGAAAAATATTTCACAAACCATGTTAATAAATTATATATATATACGCATGAACGCACACAGCCATATACATAAATTTATTTATATGTAAATATTTATATATAAATAAGATAATATGTATATAAACATTTATGTATATATACATATATATACATACATGTTTATACATAAAGAAATATACATATACACATATGCTTCTTTGCACACACAAAAACAAACACACACATATACATATATATATATATAAGAAAAAAAAAAAAAACGCATATGCATATATACATATGTATATGTATATATATACACAGACATTTATATGCATATATATATATATATATATATATGAAAAATAATATATACATATGCATTTATACATATGTATATATACATGAGGTAAAAACATAGTCTATAAATAGCAGTAAAAAAGTATCTAGAAAACTGAGAACTAGACAGTCGGCTTACATCAAATATCACTGAATTGAGGGTTATACAACTTCTAGTAAGTGCTGCAGGTTGATAAGATTTCATAGAAGGGATGTGAATTGAATTGAGGGTTATACAACTTCTAGTAAGTGCTGCAGGTTGATAAGATTTCATAGAAGGGATGTGAATTATCGGATACAATTTTGTGTAAGATACCCAGTGTCCAAATCTAAGTCAGGCAGGAGAAATTGAATGGAATTAAAAGAATGATCAAGCAGTCTTAAGCAGAGACCCTCACAGGAGAGCAGTACTCAAAACGAGGCAGAATGAAAGAAAAAGATCTATCTATATTATTTAAATATTATAAATATCCATTATGTATTCGTTAATGCATGTATATATATATAAACACATACATACATTTGTGCATACACACACCGTATATGTATATTTATCTTATATAAGAGATGACATGTAAAATCACAGGACAAGATCCTCTTTTCTTTTACACGAAAAATGCTTCGAAAATAAGTGATTGCAGCCTTTCACTTCTATCAATTCTATGATAGACCTGTGAATATACATGTTACAATGGTCAACTTAAGGTACAATCGACACATAAGTATTTCTATAATATATATATATGTGTGTGTGTGTAAAAATAAATTACATTTATATATATTACATATATACAAAATTGAAACTATCTTTGATATTATTTGAAGAATGTTATTTTAAAGCTTTAATCCGCAGTATAGTTCCTTTAGGCTATCATTACGTATCCGCAAGACAAGTGCCTGCAATGAGGGTTGGAAGCAGTTTGTAATTAACCAAAATGGCCACCAGGCCACCGGGCTATGCCCATGAGGGGAGCCCGGCCTGTGTCGACTAACAGTCGATTCGCTAACGGGTGTCAGCTTGTGCTGATTCAGATGAGCAGTGGTGCCCAGCCACAGCAGTAACCTCCAGGCCACAATTGCAACTTCTCGCGCCTGGGCGGGGCGCGAACAGCCGACCCCTATCATGAGAGGCCGAGACGTTACCACTATACTAGCATGGAAACATGGCCATCGGCTTTGAGCCTCAGATTTATAGAATCTGCGAGCTGCAACACACGTTTCATTTTACCTTTCTATTGGTGTTACTCATGAACATGTGTGTGATATAGAGGTCATCTAAATCAGTTTCGAGTCCTTACTACTACAGGAAAGTCGGTAAATATGGAAAAAAGCGTAAACACTACCTTCGACGGCGAGACTAGATTCGTTCGATTTCTATTGTTTTGGTTAGGTTGAATCTGGCTATCGTACCCATCGCAAATGCGGTTTTACGTGTATAGAGACCGATCGCTTATATTTCTAAAAATCATAAAAATACCATATTTTAAATTAGACTAAATAAATTATTTCATAAGAAATCACTGTTATTGCGAATATATTATTGTTGGTCGTCTTTTGTTTGCATTCGAGAATACGGAAACGTACTCGACAGCTGAGTAAACAAGTCGAAAATCTGTCATTTTATCTATGTTTTCGAGATTATCGCTACGTCATTTTATCTGTTTTTGGTATTATCACGTTTGCCGAGTATGTTCGTCACTTGTGTATATATATCCAGCCCCCCCCCCCCCCCCCCAATGTTGGGGGGGGGGGGCTGGGCTCCGCTCCGGACCCCGAGTGTTTGGGGGCATGCAGACAAGCCTATAAAACCTAACCTGACCTCCCCAGAAAGAAGCAATGTTAACCTAACCTAACGGACCCCGAGTGTTTGGGGGTATTCCCCAGCCGGGGCTCCGCCCCGGACCCCGAGTGTTTGGGGGTATTCCCCAGCCGGGGCTCCGCCCCGGACCCCGAGTGTTGACCTCCCCAGAAAGAAGCAATGTTAACCTAACCTAACGGACCCCGAGTGTTTGGAGGTATTCCCCAGCCGGGGCTCCGCCCCGGACCCCGAGTGTTGACCTCCCCAGAAAGAAGCAATGTTAACCTAACCTAACGGACCCCGAGTGTTTGGAGGTATTCCCCAGCCGGGGCTCCGCCCCGGACCCCGAGTGTTGGGGGTATTCCCCAGCCGGGGCTCCGCCCCGGACCCCGGGTATTAGGGGGCATGCAGACAAACCTATAAAACCTAACCTAACCTCCCCAGAAAGAAGCAATGTTAACCTAACCTAACGGACCCCGAGTGTTTGGGGGTGAAGGAGCACTGCTTCCGCCTTTTAGTTTTTGCAATTTTTGTCCAACGGCTGCAGAACCACCTTCCATCACGAAGCGTGCACGGTAAATTGCAATGCTTGCAAAGTACTTGCGAAGGAAGAACACCGTGATTCCGTAGAACTTCCAAGCTAGCTTCGTTATCTTCAAAATATAATTTGACAAGTTTCATGGCTTGTTGTAACATCCATCACAAAGCGAAGCCATGGTGAGACTGACTTCGAATTTTAATTTACCAAACCGCTCTTTCTTAATATTGTCCATTGATTGGTTGCTTCATATGCATACATATATATGCATATATAGTGGATATGTATATACACACATATATATACATATACTGTATATGTATATATATATAAATACAACTGTATTTGCTGATTGTCCATATATATACAGTATATATATGCATATGTATATTTACATACATGTGTGCGTATATGTATATACCTTATATATGCACACTTATATGTATACGTGTATATATGTATATATGGATATGTATGTATATATATTTTATTTATCTATTAATATATATATGTATATATATATATACATATATATATGTATATATATATATTGTGTATATATACATATATATATATGCATATATATGCACATATATATGTATATATATGTGTATATATACATTTATATATATTTACACACACACAAATACATGTATATATATATATATGTATATATATATATGTAAATATATGAGTATGTATATATATGTATATATGTATATATATGTAAATATATAAGTATGTATATATATGTGTGTGTGTGGGGATAAATATGTTTATATATATCATATATATTATATATAAAGTATATATGTAATATATAAGAATTTATATATATATATATGAATATAATATATACACATATATAGATAGATACATACGTTCACGCATGGATGTTATATGCAAACCGAAAGCCAAAAGCAAGAGTCACAGCTATATAAACAGACGACCATCACAGACGCAAAATCGCACATATACCCACAAAAACACACACACACAAGCTACAACGTAGACAGAATATATATGGATAAGAATGGCATAAAGTTATCTTCAATAAATATCTAGTCAATGGGAGGAGCGTGTGTGGACTAATCTGAGAGTTGGTATTACATAAATAGCTTTACGCTACTGATACGCGCTTTATGCTACAGTATTAGCAGCTGCTGAATGGAAACATTATTTTTGAACTACACTTACTGTAGATTCATACTAACAGCCAGAACCAACGGGTGTGTGAAACCAAAAGAGAGCATATATTGCTACGGCAGGACCCAAATGCATGCTGCAGGTACTTTGTGACACCTAAGTTCTGTTTAACACGGAGGCCCAGATTCATCCAAGAAGCTTTAGGTTTGCTGACAACATCTGAACCAATATATTCATTCTGCGACATACACTTTACGCTTTCTATTATTTACAAATACTGATGAACTTTCATCAAAAAGTTCGTTGTTATTTTTTAAATATCTAGTAGGTGATCCAGATTTAGACTTTAGTTTTTGGTATTTACTTTTTGGTATTTTCCCATGAGATCCTCGTCTAGAAACCACCCAGTGTATAGGTCACTTTGTCTTTAGGTATGTTAAGTAAATTATGTAAATTATGTATACCTTAGTTTTAGTCTTTAGTTGTGTTAAATAAAAGGACTTAATTATTTTTCTAGAAAAATAATCTATCTTATCATTTTTGCATAAAGTTCTACATATTTCTATATTAGTTTTACTAAGATTAGGAAACTGTTATATTTCAATGGTACTATTAAGGAATATTAGGGTTGCATGATTGATATTTTAATAAAGAAAACAATATGTATTATTTTTGTTATTGGAAAGATTCATTTAAGTTCAGAAAATATGCATGAAATGTTTTAGTTATATTTGATAACTTTATATTGTTTTATCATTCCTAAGCTAACATAATTGTTTCTTGTCTAGGAATGATTTTTTTTTCTTGTTTGTTTGGTTTTGTTGAAGTTTTGGTTTTCACGTTCCTGGTGTTGTGAACTAGATGGGAAGAAAATACCATCTTTGGGAGTCCATGGAATTGATGAAGGAAATGTTGCCATTATGGGAACCCTACCCCATGTGACCAGAAGGAAAGACAAAGACCGCAATGCAATATCTATTGATTGATTACTATTCTTACCATTGCATAGCAAACTCAGGATATTAGCATTAAGGATAATGACCCTGGAAATGAATATACTGAACTTGCTAGGGAAGAACCCCTGAGTGGCATGGTAATACAACGAAAATCGTCTGCAGGACA